ATAAATTGGTAAATGCACCAGATAGAATTAGTGTGAAACAATAGTGACTGCAGGACAAAACTTGTGTTGTAACTTAAATTAAAAACAGTGTAATCACCTTCATGCTCTCATGCAGGAGTTCTGCAAAGTAACCTGGTACACTCTTCACACATTTCACTGGAAAAGGAATTAAAAGGTTTGAACAGAATAAAAAAAAATCTAAATCAAGAGTTTTAAACATTTTACAAATTATGCTGAAAAAACCTCCCACAGCATTTTAAGGCACCGTAATGATGCTGAATAAACTAGAAAGAATGTCAAAGAGAGAACTACAAAATGTACTGAGGGAAAAAACGTAAACAAGTAAATCCAAATTAAACTCATAACCCAAAAATAAACAGAAATGTTAAAGTACTGACGTAACTGAGAGCTACCAAATGAATAAAAGGAGAATCGTTAGATTTAAAGCTGCTGCAACATTTTTCACTGTGTGTATTTGGACACCACCATATTGAGTTTGTCCACATATTTTTAACTAACCACTAACCCTGCAGATCAGCTTACCAACAGCCACGAGCAGGTTCTCCAGGTCTCCTGACATCTCCCCTTCAATGCTTTGCTGCAGGGTCTTTCCACTGATGTTCTTGTATTCAATCACAGCTGCATAAAAAGAACCAAATCGCTTTATTATTGTTTCTTATTGGAAAAAAAGCCTTTATAAAACATCGATGTGACATACTTTGTCTCAGGTGAGGAATGCTTTTTTTGCAAAGGATTTCAATGAATTTAGATTCGTCGGTGCCCCACTTCTTCTCCCCGGCATTGTAAAGAGTCTGAGCAGAAACACAAACAAAGCTTTAAATACATACATGACATAAAGAGAACAGCACGGAGGACACACATGAAGAATACCCCACCTTGGCGTCTTCTCTTGCCTTATTAACATCCACTGTGGTGCTCTCATCCCGCTTACCCTGAAAACGAGAACAAAAGCAAATTCAGTTTGAACCATTTCATCGTTCTTCTGTCTGAGTGATGTGTTTCTTTTAAATCTTCTGTTACTTTTATTTCATGGCTCACATATTTTGTTTACATATTTTTGCTACTTTAGCTGTTTCAGATAGATGTGATATCCATGAATGAAGAATGTAGAAACGTAACAGAAAAATGGAGCAACGTTCCACCCAAGCTGCTGAGTTCCAAGAAAAGAGAACTGATTACAAGAAGAAACTGCAGAACCGGAGCAGCAAGTTTGCAAAATGAATGACGGTGCACGAGCAAAGATTTCATTTCTGTCCAAAGGTGCTCCAAGCGTGCCGTACAATGCGGGCGACATCGTGCTGATTACTCATCGCGTAGGAAAGGAGGAGGAGAATCGTACGGGGCGAGTAAATCCAGTTTGTGAAACAAAAATGTAGAAATGAAGTCTGGACGCTTTCCAAAGAGTGATGCATGCAAACAAGATGGCAGATGTTTTACAGATGATTTGACTAAAGGAGACAAAGCGGCTGTGGAATCAAAGAGATCATTAGAAGTCTTTATGGCTTCATAGAAAATGTACAAATATTTGCATAGAGGATATGC